TTTTTTTTTTTTTTTTTACTTTTAACTTTTTTGATTGAAATGTTTACTTTATTAGTATGAAAGTCTACCATGATCGAAATTGTTCAAATATTAATTAAAAAAATCGTCATAAATTTCATTTAGTTTTTAATAAAACTAATCATACTAAAAAAAAAAAAAAAAAATAATAATCATGATTAACACACCGAGGTTATTATCATTATTTGGGATTACTAAATGTAATTTATATTAATCGTTTATTAAAGCACTGTACAGTCGGATTGAAAAATATTATAAAACGGATTTTTTTTTTTTTTTTGGATAAATTTAGTCATATTTGAACTACTCGTTCGGATTATTATAGATTAATACCTGAAAACAAAGTCTAGTTAAAAAATATATGATGATTACAAACAATATTATTATTATTAAAACGTTTTCCTCAAGTTTATTAAGAGAATTTTTTTTTCTTTTTTTTTTTTTTTTTTTTGGGGGGGGGGGGGCTTTTATTTGTGAATGTTTTTTTATTCTCATAATTTTTTTTTCTTAATGAAAAGAAAGAAACAAACGAAAATCTTAAATTTATTACGATATTAGGGGTTGTAACCTTCAAAATAACGACTTGAATTGATTGTGATAAAAAACCGAAATCGAAATTTGATATTTTGACTCTCTCTGTGTGTGTCTCACAAGCCCGTCTAAAGGAAAAGAGATTTTGTGTGTGCAGTGCCCCAAAAATACACAATGACTTACACGTTTGATGAAAATGATTATTTGATTATTTAATTCGTTGTTTTAAGTAAGAAGGCGAAAAATGTGAAATGAGGTAATTTTAACTCATTTAATTTTAGTTAGTTTTTGTTTTGTTTTCTCTCCGAAAAAAAAAAAAAAAAAATTAGTTTATTTATTTTCATAACATTTTTTTTTTTCACCAAAAATTTAATAAATTTTTTCCGGTTAAATTTAATTCTCGATTTTATTTCTGTTTTTTTTTTTTTTTCAGGGAGCAAAAGCTTGTTTTCTCAGAGACGTTCCTTTTAGTGCAATTTATTTTCCGGCTTATGCACATTTAAAAGCGAAATTTGCCGACGAAAACGGTTACAATCATCCATTGTCACTGTTAACGGCGGGAGCAATCGCGGGAATCCCTGCGGCCTCTTTGGTGACCCCTGCTGACGTAATTAAAACGAGGTTAATAATGTTTTGATAATTACACTTTAATAATTTAAATTATGTTATTGTTAAAAACAATTTTTTTTTTATTGTTAGATTGCAAGTGGTGGCTAGAGCCGGTCAAACAACTTACTCAGGTGTTTTCGATGCTGCAAAAAAAATTTATCAAGAAGAAGGAGCTCGAGCTTTTTGGAAAGGTACGGCTGCGAGAGTTTTCCGTTCGTCTCCACAATTCGGAGTCACTCTGTTCACATACGAAGTTTTGCAAAGATTGTTTTACGTCGATTTTGGCGGAACGTGAGTTGTAACTTTTTTACATATTTAAATTATCATGAGTCGTCGACCTGTTTAAAAAAAAAAAAAAAAATTTTTTTCCCTCTCTCTCCAGGCGTCCGGCCGGATCCGAACTCACATTGCCCGAAACGGGAGTTGCCGAAGCCATGAAATCAACAAATCCTGATCACATAGGAGGTTATCAGGTAGCCTTGCCAATATTAAAAGGTATCGAAACGAAATTCGGTTTGTGTTTTCCAAAATTTTCTACGACACTTTCTTGATATTAGTTTTAAATATGTTTAAATTTATATCACTCTAGTTAACATTTTGCATAATTCACATAGTAGTGTAGATTAATAAAAAAATAATTTTGCGGTTTGACAGACAAATAATAAAACACGTTCGTTAAAAAATCAAAATAAATTTGTTTTTTT